TTGAAGTTACCGCAGATATGTCATAAGCAATATTGATGGTATGCATACGATGCTTGCCTTCCAGAACCATGAGCAGCCATTAATTGAATTATGCCTTGACGGCAGTCAAATAACAGACATCTGCCTGGACAGTCACTGACAACATCGTGTCTTAGTCTCCAAAGAAACCAACTCCATGTATCTATGTTTTTCTCATCGGCGATTGCAAAGGCGAGAGGAAAAATTTGATGATTTTTATCGAGGCCCGTAGCAATTAATAACTTCCCGTTGTACTTCTTGTACAAGAATGTGACATCGATACTTATAAGCGGACAACAGTGTTAAAAACCGTTAATACACGGTTTAAATACCCAAAAGACTTTGTCAAATACAACCATCCCATTTCTAAGGTCAGCCACCTGTCATTTGACTATTGTGCCCTGATTATACTTTTGCAGTGCAATAAGGAATTTTGAAAAAATAGAATATGATTCATCCCAATCACAAAAAATCATTGCTAGCGCAATTTGTTTTGCTTTTCATGTTTTTTTATATGATATATTGTATTTATATACAGTGACAATGTGTTTTATTATCATAACAACCTTAATAGATGGATCTGTCCTGACAAGATCTTTAATTCGGCGTGCGACGAATTAGAAATTTAATTGCACATGGTCCTGAGTGGCTGACACATGAAGACAAGTGTGTGGGCTTTCTTTTGAATAGCTCGAAGCCTTCACTTGCACCTGGAATGATATTTTTTACACCGCACAACCAGTAATTTTTTTCACTCTCAACAACCTCGAATTGGACATAATTGTTGATTGAATAAATTTTTACTACATCTTGCAATTTCGATTTATCCTTAAAGATTAGGTCGATGGATAACTCATGCTGATCAGGATCCCACAATGAAGCTCTTGTTTGATTGATGGGACAGACAGTTGAACAAATTCATCATTGGTGAAGAAGGTGGACGATGACTCATGCATACAAATAATGTCTTGCAGTATAATTGATGGGCCATCTTCGTCACCGCCATCATTAATGTTTTCCACATCGTCCATCAATGTAATATCCTTGCCCTCATCATCTGTGTCTTTTGCACGATCAACCGCACACATTCCATTGGTTGTCAACAAATCAACGACTAACTGAACCAATTTTTGAATGACTTTGTCCTTGTTTGAGGATAACATTGGATACCAACATTGGAAGAAGATGTGATGTATCCCAAATACATCAACGTCTGCGTACTAGGCCCTATATTCAATTATGGCACATAAGGCTCAGTCTGTAGAATTCCATGGCTTGAATTAAAATTTGTTGCAAAAGTATTGTTTGCCATAAAGTCGTGCGCAAGTTGACTACTCCCTTCAACTTAATAAGAGTTAACAAGCGCATGCGAACAAGATAACCGATTGATGCTTTTCTGTGTAAGCAATTCGATATATGGGTCATACTCATTCCCCATTGACTAAGGAAACTATTGGATGAGCTCTGCATGTATGTACAAGTCAATACTATTCAGTGTTTGATTCTCAAATACAGCATCTACCATCGCCGCCATACCGTCATTATTTTTAATTTTAAATTCCACGTACTGTTGCATGTGATCCCCTAAAAATGTTGGAAACTAATAAATTAGTTGTAGAAGTGATATTGCCCTGTCCAACTGTATTATCGCGTACAACTTTCTCAACAATTTCTCATATGTTGTTCCATGTTTTAACTTTATGCAATGTTTAGGTTTCCATTATACAATAAAACAAACTTTGTTGTACATAATATTACCTCTCCAATAACACATTATTGTGGCGCGTCTCCTCAACATTTTATACCTTCAATATAAAATATAATATCGAATAATTTTCATATTTCAATTACTGCCTTGGATAGCATGACATATTTTACTTTTAAACCTATTAACATATATATAGTTCTCCTCATAGGGGGGTTGTTGGTTGAATGAAGTCATGCTTTATGCCTATTTTTTCTCTAATTTGGGAGAGGAATGCAAATTTTAAATGAGAATCTTTGACACCTGGTTTTTGTAGACCCTTCCTTTCTACATTATGTTTGCAAATTGAACTAGTCCATTTATGATCTAAAACAAGCTCCTAGGGCTTGGTTTGAGAGGTTTACTTCTCATCTCTCAACTTTTAATTTTCAAAGCTCTTAAGCTAATCCCGCCTTATTTGTTAGATTAGTGGGCAAGTCTCTCACCATTTTACTCATGTATGTTGATGATAATCTGCCCTTTACTGATGCAGGGGCGGAGTTAGGATTGTTGGTCAGTGGGGGCAAAATATTACAAATCAAAGACTGAATGACATTATAGTGGAATGTGATGTTCTTTAATTCTCAAAAGTTGCTTATATTTTGATTGACTGTATCCTAAATTTCTTCACAATATTTTTTCAATACACAAAATCAAATAGTCTGCGATAAAATCATCATTCATTTTGTATGTAAGTTTAGTTGAGATTATTTTTTTTTCATACTGAGTTAATTATGTGAAACCATAAAAGATATTTTTGGGTTAAGACCATATACCAGTTGCATTTAACTGTACTTTACTAGACTATGTTCAAAAGATGTTAACTATATAATTGTGCAGCAAAAAGTAAGGATAATATATTAAATAGAAGAGAATTATAGTCTTTGGTCAATGTATAAATCAAGATATTTGACATGTATTTTATTCAATACAAATGTAAAACATTTATTTTCATGGGTTAGGAGATGATGGATAATTTATTAGGAAAAAAGAACTACATTACTATAGAATTTTTAAAAATAATTAAGGGGGCAATGTATTAATTTTAACGTGGTTATAATCTTTCTAAGTCAACATATGTAAGTTTTATTCAAAAGTCAATAGGGGCAACTGCCCATAGAGCCTTAACCATGCCTCCGCCCTTGAATGCAGACCGGCTAGGTGATCCAGTTGACAAAAAGTCCACTACTGCTTATATCCCCTTTTTGGGTGATCCAATTTACAAAGGCTCTCTCATCTCAACATTTTCTTTTGCTTAGTACCAAACTGTTGGTTGGACCTTCTTCCATCAGTTTGCAGGGGGTGTAATAGACAACCAGTCACCACTAACACTAATGTAGCTACATAACCATCAAGCCTATAATAATTGCATTTACACCAAATACACTAACATAGTTTCTGTCATACCAATTCTGTTATAACAACGACAACTGGATTGTAAATTTGTTATTAGATACATTCTTGATCACATTTTATTTTTATTGAAAATTCTATAAAAATAGCAAGAGATCAATACAATAATGCTAAGGTTACCAACCCCAAACTTGAGCATGCCACAGAATGTATAAGACAACTGCTAATAGATTGATCAGAAATATGCAATAATATCAAAGAAATCAGGTTACCAACCCTAAACTTGAACATGACACAGAATGTATAAAACAATAAGTACTCAAAAACGCCAAAAAAAAACAACAACAGTAGTGGGTGAATTCAACATATAATAGCATTGGTGAACTCAACAACATACAATATATATTGCATGGATGCAGTTGAAATTAAATTTCTTAATAAAATTATATCTTCACATAGTAAATTTCTGAATTCAAGATGCAATTCAAACTACTTCAAGCAGTAATGGGGATTGAAAATTGAAAAAAATTGAGAATTTTTAGAATCACACAATAATTGGGCAATGAGGATTGAAATTTGGCAGTTACACTTGGGGATTTCTGAATTCAACATTCATGGGGGTTGGGCAATGGAGAAATTTTTCTAAACATGAGTTTTTTTTTTTTTTTTCTGAATTAGAGACTCAATGTAGCATATCTGGTTAAATAGACGCTTTGTGTTAACACGTGAATCCCTCCCTATCTTCTCCTTGCTTCAGACTTAGCCCACGGGTGTGTATTAGTCTATTGCTTCATTTGACAAAACACTAACTAAGCTAGAGCTTAGAAGGGAATCTCAGAGGCGAATCTCACACCTCAATTGAATCTCACAGCCGAATCTTGCAGAAGACCTCAGTTGTCTTTTTCGAACAAGCTAGGGCTACACTTGGATTTGCTTAGTAGGGTGTGTACATTTTAAGAGCTGAGCTTAGGAAATGACGAAATCATACACAATAATAGAAGAAATAGGAGGAATCAGTTGCAAGTTGAAGAGAAAGGAATGTTTGAGCTTCTACAGAGAGTAGAGAGGAAAGTGACGCGAACTCGTGGAATAACAGAAAGTGGACTTGGTTGGGAGGTTGATTATTCAAATGAAAGAGGATTCATTATATTCGTTTCATTTGATAAAACGGACTTATCAAATACGTTTTTCATCTTATAAACCAATTTTAATAGTACAATTATTCAAGTATAAGCAGATTTGAAAAATACGCCTTAATAGTAAAAATGTATGTCTTTATTTTGTTTTACCGCATAAAGTCGGATTTTCTAATTTCGCTTTTAAAAGAATCAGAATTGTTGTTTCCACTTTAAATAGTGATATAGTTTAGTAAATAAGTTTAAAATAATGGTAGATTGGTATTTAAGTTATAAATTAGCCGTGGATTGGTAATACATTCGCGTGAGGACGCCCTCAGAATAGCATTGTCCGCCAACAAAGTAAAATCTCAAATTGCCAGCCAGACTACACGTTGTCCCCTCTTATTAGCCACGCAGATGCAGAGAAAAGAGAAACAGCAGACCGAGAGAGAGAGACTAGACAAAGAAAAAGGACAGTACACAACAAGACATCGCTGTCTTGGTCTCTCTCTCTCTCTTCTTCTACACACAAACAAACAAAACGAATGCATGTTTTATTTTACTCTCTTTCTTCCCCCAAATACATGAACAGATAAGCTACGAACTACTCCACAGACTGCACAGTGTAGACTCTACACCACTGATTATTAAAGCAGGTAAAACCTCATTTGCCCACTTTCTCAAATACCCAAGATTTGTATATTTCTCATTTTCCCTCACTTTCTCTGGAAAGTTGTGATTTTTTTTTTAATACTTTTTCTCAGGAAATGTACTCGGCGATTCATTCTCTGCCGCTAGAAGTAAGTGGGGTGGGTGGTGGTGGTGGTGGTGAGTTTCCGGGGGCTTTGGAGGGGACTAACTTACCTGGGGATGCGTGCTTGATGTTGACTTCGGATCCGAGGCCTCGGCTCCGGTGGACGGCGGAGCTCCATGAGAGATTTGTTGATGCTGTTACTCAACTGGGTGGCCCCGATAGTGAGTCAATGTCAACTCAACTCTCCCTCTCTCTCTCTCTCTCTCTATATATATATATATATATATATGTGGATTGTGGCTTCTGTGCTGCTTGAAATTTGTGGGTTTCTTAATTGTGTATTTATTTATTTTTCATTATTGATAGTTATAGTTCTTATGAGTTAAAGTGGAACGGGATATGGATTTAATTTGATGATATTATGATGGGTAATGGAGTTTCTATATATTTGCCCTTTTGAATTTGTGTATTGGTATTCATTCTAGGTTTTTGTTGATTTTCACTTTGTTTTCTTTCTCTAATCTTCTGTAAATCATATATCATCATTGTGAACATCAAGGTTGTGTGTCATAGATAGTATTCAGAGGTGGCTCAAGTCTATTTGTGGCCTGAAGCAACAAATTGAAATGAGGCATTTTTAAAAATTTTAATACTAATAAAATTTTTAATTAAAATTTTAATCTTTTCGTTTTTTGATATACAAATTATATATTAGGTCTTTGAATTCAAGTTTTGCTCTTATATTTTTTTTTTTCAATTCATGGTACGACTAATTTATTTAAATATTTAATCTTTCCTGTGACATACTCGATCTTAATCTAGTGACTAATTTATTTCAATTTGAAAAGCTTCTTTATGCAGAACCAATTGTGACATATTCTATTTTTTTTTTTAATGTTTTTCATATCTCGATTATTATTTTCTGGTTGATTTATTTAAAACATACTATCAACAAAATGATTACAAATCAATCACTTGTTGTTTACAAAACAACATAATAAGATATTGGAATTAAAGATTATATAAGTTTTAAAATTATAGAACAATAAAACTTAATTTATCATTGATGTCGTAACATCAAATATGATATTTTGGTTTTTTTCCCAACACTACCTATCAGGAAAACCTAAAACTGAGATAGAATAGTGGATTAATATTCTATTTTATAAAAATACTTGGAAAGATAATTGTAAAAGAGTAGTGATTAATATACTTTAGATTTGAGATGTGGGTTTTCTAATACATGAGCACTACACTTGCAGCATAGAAGATGGCAGATTCGGTGAGACAATAAGAGCAAAGGAATAAGAAAGAATGTTTGATAAAAAATTAGAAAGTTTTTCCTTCTTTTAATGAATGAGACTAATGGGTTAGATTTTTTATCCAAGATAAATTTAAAACTTTTGTGTTAATTTAAACTTTTATGGGCTTTTTGTATGACTTAATGTTTATGTTTCAAAGTTTGGTCTAAATCATATAGGAGAGTTACAAAATTTGGGGCCTTCTTTGCACTAGGGGCCTAAGCTCGTGCTTTACTTGTTACCTAATTGAGACGGCCCTGATAGCTTTAAGTGCTTTATGGGAAATTAAGTGATTGCTTTTGTTTTCATTTT